TATACTGCGAATTGACGGGTTTGCACGGCTTATTTAAATCCTGTGGTCATGGCAGATGTTTACAGCGCTATTGTGTTAATCGCAATCTAAACCAGGTGTAGTCAACCGCAAATATCAGCCGTGCTCATTGGCTATAACAGATGTGTTGAAAAGCTCTAGCCAATCGGCATTTACTCAGCAGAGTTTGTTTTGTTTAACAATAGAATAACACATCAGTGGACTTTATTGTATTACTATAACCAACACTGATTGGACCACGTATACGTAGAATTGCATATAAAACATTCGATCACGTGAATTTGGTGCTTATTTGTGAGAACAGTGTAGCACGTTGTTGGGTGAACTCCGGAGATCCGCCAGAATCATGTCCGCTCAAGAATTTGCTGCTCCGGAAATTGACTGGGATTTGGAAAACTGGTTGTCCCAAATTGATGTGGACGACGCCGAGGACTTTAAACTGGGCGATATTCAGAAAAAAATCCGTTTTTTGCCTCCAGTTGACAGCAAACAAGTCACCGAATACCAGCAGTCACGCAGAAAACCAGACAACTCGCAGCGCTACTAAATGGGGCGTCAAAACATGGAATGAGTGGAAAGAGCAAAGCAGATGACTGATATCGCTGGGATAAAAGGTTATCATACTGAACATTCAGGAAAGGTACGTATTAGAATTTGCACTTTAGTAATGCAATGTTCGATTTCCCCGCTGACGAGAAATAGTCATAACTTTATGTCGAAAATAATCACTACTCGTTAACTCCATTTTTTCATGCAAACTGTTTGGTGGAATACCATTTAAATATTATATTCACTGGCACGATATGTCGGATTAATTTCACGCGATAAAGATTTAATGCAAACGGCTTTGGCGTATTTTAAAAAGCTGAACGATTGAACGTACTATAATACTATATATTGATATTTTACATTGCTATGAGGTGGACTGTTACAAGCTATTGTACTTTCATATTGATACATTGTATTTTATTTTAATTAAACAGGTTACACAGGCAAACACCCTGTTCCGGCAAAATTTCGATGGGCAGCTAATAGCAGAAAGAACGGGTCACTCCAGTCTAGCAATTAGAAGCTACAAGGCGACGAGCAGACGAAAGCGGTGTCGGACGCATTGCAGCCACCCAAACCGAAAACTGCGAAAGAAGCGAAAACGCATGACATATCCACCACCCCAACAGACGAGGACAAATCTAATACCACTGTCATCACCGCCGATTCTTCCCAAGTGTCCGTGAATTTTGTAAAAGGAAATATGAAACTTGAAATATGTTTTTAAAATGTATCGTATAATCGTCATTGCGTATTTAAATAATTAAATGAAAATTCCACCTTGTTCTTTGTTTTCATTCAGTGGCCACCTGTTACGTTAATCAGTTTTTCACTCCTGTTGTGCTCATAAATATTTAAATTAACCCATTCATTATTAACAGTCCCGGCTTGTTAATCTATTGATAAAACAGTACCGTTAACAAGAATGCATAATTAATTAGGTTGAAACTGTCCGCTAACGAAAGTAAGAAACATAGTTAGAACAATGGGGAAGAGACAAAAAGTAGTATAACAGATTACGTATGACTCGCATACCAAACGCTTGGCGCCACGTGTCGATATATGCATGAAGGTGAACGTGTCATTCATGTCGCTGTGTGTATATGCTTCGTGCGCTTTTGTTAGATGGAATAATTCTGATCATGATGAATTCGACTGTATATTTTTAATCTAAAACTGGGCGACACACTGCAATAATTGCTTGCAATATGGATTTATAATTTATTCTAAACATTGTGGATAGTCACATAATACATATTGTACATCTGTCACCGTAACGCCATAAGTTGCATTCCAATTTCATTGAATTAAGAGTGTAATATATTGGAAACATTTGTTAATATTATGTTAAAGT